TTCGCAATAGTTTCAAAATCCGAATCCAAATTGACTCTGAAAACTCAATTTCTTATTTTTCAAAAAATAACTTAGCAAAGTTTCACCAATTTCTACTTTGATGCATATGACTTTGATGTTAGAATCTAAGATATGTTGATGAAATATGATTAGAATCACTTACTTCAAGGTTTGTAGGTGAAAATTCCCTCTCCAAATCGCCTCCTATCGAGTCTAGGATTCAAAAATGAGAGAATGAGAGATAAATCCCGAATTTCAATCCTTATGTTCAGCTGCAGATATTGCAATTGCAATATGGGTTTGCAATTACGAACCCTCTGAATTGCAAAGAAAGCCTCGCAAATGCGACACTGAAGGCTTAGGAAGCTCTTCGCAATAGTTTCAAAATTCGAGTCCAAATCGACTCTCAAAACTCAATTTCTTATTTTTCAAAAAACAACTTAGCAAAGTTTCACCAATTTCTACTTTGATTCATATGACTTTGATGTTAGAATCTAAGATATGTTGATGAAATATGATTAGAATCACTTACTTCAAGGTTTGTAGGTGAAAATCCCCTCTCCAAATCGCCTCCACCGAGTCTAGGGTTCAAAAATGAGAGAATGAGAGATAAATCCCGAATTTCAGTCCTTATGTTCAGCTGCAGATATCGCAATTGCGAAGAAAGCCTTGAAAATGCGGCACTGAAGGCTTAGGAAGCTCTTCACAATAGTTTCAAAATCCAAATCGACTCTCAAAACGTAATTTCTTATTTTTCAAAAAATAACTTAGTAAAGTTTCACCAATTTCTACTTTGATGCATATGACTTTGATGTTAGAATCTAAGATATGTTGATGAAATACGATTAGAATCACTTACACAAGGTTTGAAGGTGAAAATCAATTGCAAAGAAAGCCTCGCAAATGCGACACTGAAGGCTTAGGAAGCTCTTCGCAATAGTTTCAAAATCCGAGTCCAAATCGACTCTCAAAACTCAATTTCTTATTTTTCAAAAAACAACTTAGCAAAGTTTCACCAATTTCTACTTTGATTCATATGACTTTGATGTTAGAATCTAAGATATGTTGATGAAATATGATTAGAATCACTTACTTCAAGGTTTGTAGGTGAAAATCCCCTCTCCAAATCGCCTCCTACCGAGTCTAGGGTTCAAAAATGAGAGAATGAGAGATAAATCCCGAATTTCAGTCCTTATGTTCAGCTGCAGATATCGCGATTGCAAAGAAAGCCTTGGAAATGCGGCACTGAAGGCTTAGGAAGCTCTTCGCAATAGTTTCAAAATCCGAATCCAAATCGACTCTGAAAACTTAATTTCTTATTTTTTAAAAAATAACTTAGCAAAGTTTCACCAATTTCTACTTTGATGCATATGACTTTGATGTTAGAATCTAAGATATGTTGATGAAATATGATTAGAATCACTTACTTCAAGGTTTGTATGTGAAAATCCCCTCTCCAAATCGCCTCCTACCGAGTCTAGGGTTCAAAAATAAGAGAATGAGAGATAAATCCCGAATTTCAATCCTTATGTTCAGCTGCAGATATCGCAATTGCAAAGAAAGCCTTGGAAATGCGGCACTGAAGGCTTAGGAAGCTTTTCGCAATAGTTTCAAAATCCAAATCGACTCTCAAAACTCAATTTCTTATTTTTCAAAATATAACTTACCAAAGTTTCACCAATTTCTAATTTGATGCATATGACTTTGATGTTAGAATCTAAGATATGTTGATGAAATATGATTAGAATCACTTGCCCAAGGTTTGAAGGTGAAAATCAATTGCAAAGAAAGCCTCGCAAATGCGACACTGAAGGCTTAGGAAGTTCTTCGCAATAGTTTCAAAATCCGAGTCCAAATCGACTCTCAAAACTCAATTTCTTATTTTTCAAAAAACAACTTAGCAAAGTTTCACCAATTTCTACTTTGATTCATATGACTTTGATATTAGAATCTAAGATATGTTGATGAAATATGATTAGAATCACTTACTTCAAGGTTTGTAGGTGAAAATCCCCTCTCCAAATCGCCTCCTACCGAGTCTAGGGTTCAAAAATGAGAGAATGAGAGATAAATCCCGAATTTCAGTCCTTATGTTCAGCTACAGATATCGCAATTGCAAAGAAAGCCTTGGAAATGCGGCACTGAAGGCTTAGGAAGCTCTTCGCAATAGTTTCAAAATCCAAATCGACTCTCAAAACTCAATTTCTTATTTTTCAAAATATAACTTAACAAAGTTTCACCAATTTCTAATTTGATGCATATGAATTTGATGTTAGAATCTAAAATATGTTGATGAAATATGATTAGAATCACTTACCCAAGGTTTGAAGGTGAAAATCAATTGCAAAGAAAGCCTCGCAAATGCGACATTGAAGGCTTAGGAAGCTCTTCGCAATAGTTTCAAAATCCGAGTCCAAATCGACTCTCAAAACTCAATGAGAGAATGAGAGATAAATCCCGACTTTCAATTCTTATGTTCAGCTGCAAATATCGCAATTGCAATATGAGTTCACAATTGTGAACCCTCGCAATTACGAAGAAAGCCTCGCAAATGCGGCACAAAAGACTTGGGAAGCTCTTCACAAATGCGAAGATGGAATCGTATTTGCGACCCCTGCTGCCCTTACAAAAGCGACATTTTTGTCTCAAAAGCAAACCTAGCCCAGTCGAGAAGCTATTAGCAAATGCGACCACGACATCACATTTGCGATACCTTGAATTCTTGCTATGGTCGCAAATGCGACCCTGGTGTTCGTAATTACGACACCAAAGGGCACCAAACATCAACTGTTATTTTCAGTCCAAAATACTTTCGGAACGTATCTGAAACTCACCCGAGCCCTCGGGGCTCCAAACCAAATATCCACGCAAGTATAAAAATGTCATAGAAACTCGTTCGCACGATCAAAACACATAATTAATGTCTAAAAGTACGAATTGAACTCTAAAAAGCATGATTTTCAAAGAGATTTTCAAGAACTTCTAAAATTTAAACTAAGCATGTGAATCCTATCAAATCAACTCCGAACGATGCCAAATTTTGCAAACAAGTTCTAAATGCAATAACGGACCTATTCCAATCCCAAAATCAAATTCTGAGCTTGATGGTTAAAAGTCAACCTACGGTCAAACTTTTCAATTTAAAAATTGTCAAATTTCGACAAAATCAAGACAAATCAATCTACGGACTTTCAAAATTAATTCCGGGCATACACCCATGTCTGAAATCACGATACGAAGCTATCGGAGTCATAAAACACAGTTCCAGAGTCATTTTCTCAAAAGTCAAAGTTTGGTCAACATTTTCAAATTAAAGCTGCCCGTTTGGACATAATTGTTTTTTTTTCCCTTTTCCAAAAAAAATTACTTTTTTTCAAAATCAGTGTTTGTTCATAAAATTTTCAATTTCACTTGAAGATGCATTTTGAAAATTTTCAAAAATTTGAAAAAATTCAAAAAGTTATTTTTCAAAATTTTTACTCAAATCACTCACAAAACTTCAAAAACAACCCAAAATTTTCACTCTAAATTTCAAATACCATTTTCACTTGAAAACGTTTTTCACCATTTTTTTGAATTTTATATTTTTTATGTCCAAACGCCTACTAAGTCTAGAATCAATGGTCCAAATCAACCTGAAAATTTTTCAGAGCGAAACTAATCAACCCCGCAAGTCATAAACACACAAGTGTGAAGCTATAAAAGGGGTAACGTGACGCAATTATAAAAAGGACCGATCAGGTCGTTACATAGAACCGTAAAAGTGGCTTAATGGATTACTGGTATCGGATTATCGGATTAACGGTTGGTGAACATATTAAATTTTTATAATTAACGATTAATCGGTTCGGAGGCGGATTACTTAATTTTCTTATCGGATAAAACGTTAACCTGTTAATAATTATTATATTTATATTTTTACCCATTATGAAGCAACTTCTTAGCAGTTTGAGCTTTAACGTCATCATAACTTGTTTTGGGGGTAGAATTAGGCAGATCTAGAGGTTTGATATCTTTCTGCTCAAATAAATCATTTAAATTGCTAACTGAAACAAAATTATATCCAGAATTTATGTTAACTGAACTTTTATTACTGATGAAGAATCCCCAATTTATATTTTAGTTTGCTTATTGTAAGAGAATTAAAGAAGAAGAAACTATCATTAACAATGAGAGCTTCATTAGCGTATTGGAGTGTGGTTGTGATTGGATAGTCTCTATTGTTTAATGTCTTGCTTATTTAAGTAATTTTTATTGTCTATTTGATATAACCGATAAATCGTCTGATAAGCACTAATCCGATACCAAATCCGCCCAATATCTTATCAGGTGGCTAGCGGATTAGTTTATTTACAAGTCGATAACCGATAAGTCGAACCGTTAAACGTAAATATCCGTCCAATCCGTCCTATAAACAACCCAATTTGTAAAGCAAATGTCGTTTCATTTCATCATACTTTTATTTCTTAAAATTAAAATTACAAGTTTTAATGCTATATAGTTCGATAACTTTACATAACAAATGAGAATTATTAATATTCTTATTTGATGTTTTAACAAATAAGTAGCAAAAACAGTTGAATAGAATCGAATTTTTTTGAGATAATTTAAATAGTTAGATAAAAGTTTTATTTGGATTATACACATTAAATTGACCAAACAATTAGTATAAACTGTGAATTTCATCTATTACTATTTATTAAAATTAAAATTACATTTTTAATGCTATATTTTTGTTCGACAACTTTATGTAACAAACGAGAATTACTAATATTTTTATTTGACATTTTAACAACTTAGTACCAAAATTAGTCGAATCAAATAAAAAATAAAGATGAGTAAAGCAGGTTATTTTTTAAATTTTAATTATATACATTAAATTAAGCAAAATTAGTAATATGATTTTTTTAAAATAACAGGCTGACGCATAAATATGACGAAGATATAGAAATATAATATCATGAAAAATAGTCATTTTCATATGTATATTAGGTAGAGAGAAGACGAAATAAGAGCAAAACATTTTGTGGACAACAGGTAATGGGCATTTTACAACAATTCCGAGCAGTCGCCGGGAAGCTTTTCAACCGGAGAAGTCAACAGAAACCATCAGAAGATGCATATGCTTCTTCAGAAGGTGAGTACAGTGTAACGTCGGCGGTAACCAAAATCAGTAGTCCCGTTAAGTATGGCGGAACTCAATCAGATGAGAAAATTAGCAACATTCTCTGCAAGCTCCGTAAATTTGCTATTGTCTCTGCCGTTGACGAGTCTCTCAGAACCGTCGCTGGTAGTCTCTCTCTCTCTCACACACACACACACACAAAAACTTCAATATATTCTTTGGGCAATTTTTGTATTTTGGAATGTTTATGTGGTTTATTTGTAAAGGGTTTATGTTAGGATCGGGAACCCGGGTAGTGCGGAATATAGCCAAACAACGGTATAATGGCAATAACAAAGACAATAGAAGTTGATAACAACGACAATTAAAGTAGATAAAGAAGACACAAATTTAACGTGGTTCGGTCAAAGTGACCTACGTCCACAAGCGGAGAGGGACAATTTACTATAACAATAAGAGTACAAAAGAGAGTACAAAATTAGAGTAAATACTCTAATTAATCCCAAATACCCTAAGGGAATAACCTCACAAGATCACTCCAAAGAAAGGGTTCACACAAGTGCTTCCCAACACTAACTCTCATACAAAATACTCTTAATAAAGGAAGAAAGGAAGAAACAAGAATTGATGACAAGTCTTGTTGGTGTGTATACAAATGAGGAGAAACTCCTCTATTTATAGCAAGAAATCCTTAGCCTAATAATGGATATTATGTCATGGCAAATGTCATGATCCACAAATTTGTTATAATGGATATTATGTCATGGCAAATGTCATAAAAATTTGGCCATATTACAAATCTCCACCTTGGTCTAATTTTGGCTGATATCGTAAATTTGTTCCACCTTCTCCGCAAAAGCCCCAATGGGCATATGTCAAAATTTAATGCCATCAAAATCAGACAAATTGTCTGATACCGAAACTGTAGTAGGGCCTATAACAGTGGATCCCAATAAAGTATACAACGAACCAGATCTATGTGCTTTCATGATCACACGAGCACCTTGAAAAATTTTCAGAACTCCACCTTTACCAGTGAATTTGCACCCAAGGGATTCTAAAGTGCCCAAAGAAATGAGATTTTTCTTCAACTCAGGAACATATCTAACATTGGTGAGAGTTCTCACCACATCATCGTACATTCTGACCCGAATTGTACCTTTGCCAATAACGTTACAAGTAACATTGTTACCCAATTGGACANCTTTAGCTGCGGTTTCAATAGAAACTTCACGTAAAACCTCATTTGAGAGATTTAAAATGATACCTGCTTTTGCCCTTTTGTCTATGACGGCAAACTCCTCATCCGTCATTTTA